TCTCTCTCTCTCTTCTCTCTCTCTCTCTCTCTCTCTCTCTCTCTCTCTCTCTCTCTCTCTCTCTCTCTCTCTCTCTCTCTCTCTCTCTCTCTCTCTCTCTCTCTCTCTCTCTCTCTCTCTCTCTGTGTGTGTGTGTGTATGTATGTATGTATGTATGTATTGTATATGTGTGTGTGTGTGCGTGTGCAAACTCAAAACAAGTTATCGCTAAGTGATAACGCGAAAATCGCCCTTGGGGCTGAACTCTGAAGCATGTGAGACGTCATATGCATAATGATTACAAGTCTTTAAGAAATCTTTCATTTGCTGGTATGATTTCGTATTAAAGGCTGTCCATGCTGTCTGTGCCGTTTTTTTTTTGTTTTTTTACAATATTTTTCTCAACATAGAAGTAAATCACACTCGTACATACACACGGACAGACATACACATCACACACACACACACATACACGCACGGACACGCATATAGAATCATGCACACACACATGAACGCACTCTCTTTCACCATTCTGTATAGACAAATCGCACTTTATTTAAGTTACATTGACCATTTACTTCCGGAGAATAATGGCCATTGTTCGTAAATGGAAATGAATGAATGGTCATACTATTGCCTATCGTATCCCATTATTCCGCCTCGGAGTTATATAAATCATGATGTGTGGGCTCTGTGTATCATGCACAATCCAGATGAAAACTTTTTCCATCTAGCTCATACTTTCCGACTAATGCACACACACTTACATTATACAAACAATACACATGCACGCAAATATGTGCACACACATACACACGCACGCACGCACACACACACACACACACACACACACACACACACACACACACACACACACACACACAGACAAATATATACGTAAACACACGTGAGCACACATACACATTTGCATACACATACACACAAACATACAGACATACTAATTTTTAACCGCATTATTCAACAAAGATTTCTAGTTCTCTTTGTATTCCTCACGACCTCACAACCGCAACCAGTCCTCCCCATACAGCCACCACAGACACGCCCACGCTCCCTGTGACGCCCATACAACGCCCATGCATGTGACCAACCCGCCGACACACTCCAGACATCCCCACTCCTAAATAATCCTTAAGCCCTGTGTACACGGCCCTCACACTCAAACGCCGCTCAACCCACACGCCCATAAAGCCCAACGCAACTTTCACGCACTCACTGCCCTCACACCTCCTCATAACCCTCCCTCAATACGTCACATGTCTCGCACACAGGCAAGCGAACCGCGCCTCATCTCACCCTATACAATGCGCTGACACTTACGTCTCACAAATCCACCTACATTGCCCCCACAAAAAGCGCTAATACCCTCAAGTGCGGTTGTTTCTGTCATATGCTAGGCTTAATCCTGTTCCCCCTTGGCATATCCTGTCAACCAGGCTCTCATCTGATCTTATGGGATGGTTCAAGAGAAAGATTTAATGGTTTTTATCGTCCTTTCACCAAACGCTTCGTTCCTTTTTACTCAATTCATTTTGCTTGGGTTCCCAATCGTTAGTTGGGTTATATATTTATTCCTTTGTTCATTAACATACGCGCAGCGAGGTTTTATAAACTGGTTTTGGGTATTTAATAGTGACTGTTTTATTATTACTGGAGAAGTGACTCGAGCGGCCGCTAGATGGCAGTGCCGTCCAAGCCTCCCGTACGCGCCACCCTCGACTCCGCTGCGACGATGCTAGATGTGGCGAGAAACCGTCTCTTATATCAAATAAATATGGGTTCTAAGGACGATTTTATTTTATTTACGTGACTAGATGTTTTATGCATCCTACTACAGATCATATAGAGACGAAATTCTTGTAAAAGCCACACAAATACGAATGTAAGCATCATTGTTATTGGAAAATCGTCGACGGTTCATCTGATCTCATGGAGCGGCGAAGGGGCGGGACTATGATATGTAACGAGTGCGATGATTGGCTATTACGACAAGTGACATCATCTGAATTTCAATATCTCTTTTCAATGTGATTTTTCTCCGACATGCCATTTTTACATTAGGGTATTGGCGCGGCATGAGCAGATTGTTAGAAAGCAGGCTGATACACGCGAGCTCGCATTCATGTGCAGTCTGTCAGAAAGTAGCTTGTCGACAGACCCTTGGGCTACCTTTTAGTCTAGGGTCGTGTGCCTCAACCCTCTACTTGTCTACTGCCTCACTGGACCTCCAACTTCATCTCTGCTCCCTGGCCACCGCCGACGACCAGTGAAGTGTGGGAATGATTGTGTGACACTTAATGACACATTTTGAGTTAGGAAGGAGGCGAGAGCGTTAAGAAGACGGAAGGGGGTGCGAGTGGGAGGACCTGTCCAGGGAACGGCGGCTGACCGGAGTAGGAGGGATCGCCGCTTGCGGGGGACTGCTGACTGCCCACGTGTTTGTGCTTGGCTACTGTCAGCGACCTTAAAGAAAACGGGAGATGACTGAGTGTCCAAGTTGGGAAGAGAGAGAAAAGGTTGCTCTAAAGAACTAGGAAAACAATGTTGTTTGGACGGTATTAAAGATTCAAGAGTAACTCCCATGGTACTTAACCCTTTCGAGACCCCGTGTGACCTCGACTGAACCTAACCCCAGTGCCCGCTGAAACCTCGTATTCAACCCTTGCTCCGCGACTCCAGCCAAGATGTTCAACCTCTCCGAACTCGGGTCGTTGGAGACGTCGGCGATGGCCTCGCCCGCGACCTCCCTGACCTCCACGACCGCCTCCAGCACGACCACCACCACCTCCAAGTCGGACGACCACGTGAAGCGGCCTATGAACGCCTTCATGGTGTGGTCTAGGATCCAGAGAAGGAAGATCGCGCTCGAGAACCCCAAGATGCACAACTCGGAGATCTCGAAGCGCCTCGGCTCGGAGTGGAAGCTGCTGACGGACTCCGAGAAGAGGCCGTTCATCGACAGAGCAAGAGACTGAGGTAAGTCCGCTGTCGA